CATGCTTAAGAGAAATACCTGTGTTCTGAAATAATTAACTTTTTCAAAGCAAATTCCTTATTAAAATATCAGATTTTATCATTAAATATATAATTTATACGAATAAAAGTTGTTATTATTAGAGTGATGTGCCATAAAAGCCTTCTTACACATTTTTTTTTCAGGTTGCTATTCTTTAGTTGTCATACATTGCATCATTCTATCCTAAAATTACAAGAATTTATAAGGTTCCTGTTTAATACTTAACTCTAAAGAAATCTTCATTTCAAATAAGCATGCATTTTGATTTGGGACATGGTCAAAAATCTTTAAAGATATATACATAAACTAATTTGTTAATCTCGTGCCACTTTTAGCATTTGTCACACATATAGACCAGGAAATTGGCTCCATCTCATTCTAGCTCTGTGTTGAATTAAAAACCTCTACTGCAAAGAAGAGCATGATGTGGGGAAAGAATAAATTTAGTTCTTTCCTTAGTAATGCACATATATTTCCATACATTTCACATCCTAAGGGAGCCCGTGAACGCATTCAATAAATACAAAACTGTAATTCCAGGAAAAGGAAATTTTTATATTATAAATTTCACATAGTACTTTATTCTTAAAAGATCTGAAATTACAAGTGTCATTAAGTTTTTATTCTTTTACAAAATACAGGATATAAAAAAAAGGAAGACATTGAATCTAGGGTCATCGGTATTTCTGAGGGTATTAGGTGATTTCAAATAAAAAATATATATTCAACAATGGCACTTGAAAATTAAGAAAATTTAGCCATGTCCAGCCCAACTAGTTCTACCTTACTTATACTAAAATCAGAATCATATATGTAAGCATTTATACCGAACAATTGCCTATCTTCACCTTATATATTAAGGTCAGCAAAAAGAACAGTTTATGGATAAAGGGCAATAATAAAGAGGTAGCCTTTAAACATGATTAGTTGGTGTCTATTAAAGATGTGTTAAAATGAAATATATACTTCAGGTGAAGGAAATTACTAACTCCTTCTAGGATGATAGACTTGCTATATGTGTATTTCACTATACCTTTAAAATATTTGTGAATTTGACTGCATTCTGAGGAGACAGAGCAACGTGGTAGATTTATGAGTGTCTGACGGAAACAGGGCTAGGAAAGATTATGGCATACTTGTTTAGAAAAACTGAGAACTGAAGGTTCCTGATTTACACTGACATATATCTAGATGAAACTATAGTTTGCAAATTGCCTAGAGGAGCTATCTTTTATTAAGTGTTTGATGGGTACAGAAATGTACATATCTATTCTATAACAGTCTAGGAATACCAAAGCAATATTTGTAAATGCAATTTTAATGTTTTTAGCTTTTCTTAAATATTTTCATTTTTATGGTCACCTTGCCCAACCCTGTGCTGAGTGCCCATGCCTATTGAACAAGCCATATGGTTAGAGAAGTTTTGCTTCATTCTTTTGAATTCTTGGGATACAGGTATGCTGAAATGCTCTCTGCACTGCGGGACTAGAGAGGTCAAACCGCAGCTTAGGCACTTTTTACCTTTTCCAACAGATTACCAGCATATTTGACTCATTCTGCATCTTAAGTTAAAATTACCAACATTCACAATTAGTGTATCCAAAGGCTTTCAACTTTGCTACTACATTGTGATACCATTACATATGTTTAGTTTGAAATTAGACAAGGAGTAACAGATGAACATGAAGTTTTACCAAGCACTGTAATATTTCTTGCAAAGAAAGCCTGAAAGACTGGTAAGTTTTCTACTCAGGTCAACTTTCTCTGTTTTATTCCGACTGATACAAGGTAGATAGTTTGTCTAGGAGGAGGGGGCAGGCTGGCTTTGCATTATTATTTTCGGTACACTAATTTCCTCTTTCTTTAGGAGCTGTTACTTTTTAATCTTATTTTAGATCGTTATTATGATAGTGAAAATCTGTATTAGTCACTACAATTCTACTTTCATAATTCATATTTTATTAATGCAATTAAAATTGGTATTTACTGATGTTTCAGGAACAAAATTATGAATTTAATATCAATTTAACAATGGATCACATTATGCATTCTAGTTCTGTCAGCATATTTTCAAGCCAGGTGAATGCATTATACAAATATTAGGCAATATTTTACATAATAATCTACCTATTAGGTGGGAAGTTTTGTCAGGCTTGTACGTACAGTTGGTCACGAATTATATGTAAAATTTCTTTTGTCCACAGTAGATGTGGAAACAGGACTAAAATATCAGCCCTTTTAAATATTCCACTGGCTTCTAATAAGACATAATAAGCACTATCTGTTAGTGTAAGCTTTTGGTCAGCAACAGAGAAAACAAAATTTATGATCAGACAACTATTTACACTTTCATTATGAATATATGTTCAGTGCATTGATAACTTGAACAAAAGGTTTCTGTGTTATAGCATTATATGAAGAGTTGTACATCTGTGATAAGCAACATGCACTGACCCATTTTCATCAGTAACTTGCATAGTTTTCTTAAATCATTAACTTATCAGATCTGGGCAGGGATGCCTGGATTTTTCTGGATGTTTGGATAGCACCTAGCATAATATAATGTGTACTAGAATATAAGCAAATAATTGGCACTTGTTAGTTATAAGCAGCACTTGTTAGCATAGCCTTTCTAGCATGCCAACAAGCAATTAACCTCAGCATCAGTCAATCACCTTTTCCTAGTTAACTCACATTACACTTTGAGGGCAGCTGCCATCTTCTTGTGGAAAAATACATGTAACTATGCCCCTGACTGTCACGCGAGTTTTAGACCAGTATAAGTTTATTCTGTCCAAAAGAGTTAGAGCTTTCTACACAGTACGGTAATCAAGAAAATTATTTTTCTTCCGTGACTGTAAATTAGGAGTAAGTGTACCTAATTCATTGGAATTACATCTGTTTAAAACAGTGGCACTGAAATTGGAATCAATCTTTTCTTTATGTATCTGAGAGGTGAAAGTGTAGTACTGTACATAAGTCAATCAAAGTAATGATGTTGCTTAGCAATGTAAATGCAAAAGAGTAGATTGCTGATGCCAAGAAATTTGCACCCACATATTGCACCTGTCAGTGAAAGGGAGGTTGCATTGCAACTGCAGTGCAGTGTGGAATTAATGCCCTAATTAGAGACTTCTTTATCTCCATTAGATATGCCTGACAAGACAATATGGTGAAGTTATTTATCAGCTCATCATTGCTATGGGTGGCAGGAGTAGCTGTTTTTGTTCTTTTTTGCTCTTTTTCTTTGTTTGGTTGGGGTTTTTTTTAAGACACTGTAGATATTTTCAGCCCATTTTTGATAGGAAGAGATGACCAGAGGAGAGTTTATGTGTGTTATTTGTGTAGAATAAATGGGTTGATGGTGGGTTAATAAAACTGGGTTTTTCCCATTTCCCTACATGTATGAGTGATTTTCATAGAAGAAAGGTATGGAAGAACTGAACTGTGATTTAAAGCACATCATTTTATTTCAATAGCAGGAAGCAACTTCCATAAATGACAACTTTTTTTCTTTTGATAACTCCAATGAAATACAGAGATGACACCTGTATGAAGCATTATTTTTAGAAAGAGGGACTGGGACACTTCTCCCCTGACTATTGAAATGACATATAAATATCATTTCTTTTACTTTTTCTGCGAGTTTTGTGACTTGTGCCTTGGTGTGTGACTGCGATGTGCATTTTTTGTTGACAGATGTGAATAAGGTACAGAGAGTACTAAATAAAAGTGTGCCAGGTCCGGATAGATAGCAATATGCAGGATAACTCCAAGGAAAACAAAAAAACCCAAAAAACAAACAAACAAACAAAGTAAAAAAAAAAAAAGGATTCACTGTAAACTTATTTTTTCCTGGTTGGTCCATTAGGGAATAAACAGACCAACATGGAATATTATTCCAGTGAGTGATAAAAACAAAAGAAGGAGAACGTTAGGCCTGTAAGGTATTTTAATACTGCTCTTAAGAGTTTCACATATTCAATTTTGAAAAAATAAACCTTTCAATTATGAGTTGAAGTCTATCCAGCTCAGGTAGAGAAAACCATAGAATAGGAGTTTCTTTCTTGTTCTATAGAATTTTTGCTATTATTGCTTAACATTCTCCATGTTTTGCTGACAGAAATTCTTTGGGGAATGTTTAAAGAATGGACTTTTTAGTGAATTTCTTTGGGTTATTCTTTTCAAATAGTCATTGTTGAAATCATCCTGAGGCATATTCAGATCTTAAGTCACTTATAGACTGTGTTAAGTCTCCCTGTAAAGTTCTTACTACTAGTTGGTGATTACCTTAGTGACGTTAGTCACTTTGCAAAATAAAATCATCGATTGGTGAAACAGTCCTATAAAGCAAAATATAACTAAGTTTAATTCGAGTCTTGATAGTGTGTTTTCTTCTAACTGTATCTGTGGTAGTTATGACTACAATTTTCATCTTGCCCTAAGCTTATGACCACTTTTCTTGGTACCAGACTTTACATTCCCAGAAGAACCCCTGGTCCCTTTGCTGAGTTACTATTTAAATTAGTCAGGTACAGCCTGATCAAGTTGAGTTAGGAAGTGGCTTCATGAGCAGCTTCACTGGCAGCTCTGGAGAAGCAATAACCTCCACCTGGCGTGTGACATTTAGCTAGAACAGACTGAAACTGCTTCCTTTGGTAGCTAGCACAGTTATGGGCAGAAAGTATAGTCAAGCTATTCTTATATGAAATAATGCCTCATGCCAATGCAAAAATACAAGAAAATACAGTACTTACTGCAGAATCATGATACAAATTTTTAGTTTTAGATGTTATGTAAACTTCATGGTGCAACTGTATTAGAACAGGAAGCTATATGAAGCTTGTTTTTGGGTGTAGCTATTACATGCCTGAGGAGAGCAAAATGTTTTGGGCTATATTTCTGCTTAAACAATTAAGCAAACTAATGGAAAAGGTCTTGAAAGGAAACTGGATTATTTGTATTAAAATATTTTTCAGTAGTCTGATAATTATGTAAGAACGTGACGAAACTCGAGAGGAAGTAGAACCATGTGAAGCAGAAGGAAGTGTCCTCACTGGTAAAGATGAGGTGAGAAAATGTTACATTTTGGTATAAAACATGCTTTCTGGTAGTATTTCTTCTGAAATCAGCATTATGAAGCAGACCTATGTTAGTTATGTTTACATTATGAGTTTACATTAGTTATGTAAACTCATAATGCAAAATTTTAGTGTGTTAAGAGCTTGGTGAATTTGTTAACTTTGTTTTTTTTAGACTAACTGGTACTTTTACTGATATTTAAAATGATAGATACAGAGAGAGTAGGATAGTTCTTTCTTTGTTTTGCCCGTATAACCATCATACTGCCTTTTTGCCCAGGGAGTTTAAGAATGGTCGTGGCCATTTAACTTGTATCTTCAGCATGTCCATGTAGTACAACACATTTTTGCCTTTTGATTATTAAGACCTCCCATATAAATCCATTTTAAATGGTGACTTAAGAAATGCATCCTTGTAAATAAACATGAATTTGCAGCTTCAGTCATTATTGATGATTAAAATACATGGTTGCATAACATAAAATGGTACTAATTATTCAGTCTAAGTGCTGTATTCTGATTTTTTTTTTTTTTTACTTAAACACATGTTTTCTTTTCCTAGGTATCTTTTTAATGCTGAAATGGACACAGTAATTGTGAACCGTGTGGTAAGGAGCTCTTTCTAAACTATGCAGTAACGTATTCACTGGAATTTAACAGCCTGTGTACTTCAAAGCTTCTCTTGCCTGTAATCAGGTGAACAAACCTTCCAAGTCGCTTTGCCAGCTCGAGATTTGTCAGAGCACTAACACAGCGTTGAAGCAACCCCTGCCACCAGGCAAGGTACAGAAGGGAGATGGTGACCTGCAACAGGATGAGAGACCTCACTTACCAGGATTGGCTCACAGTTATGCTTCTGGCAACTGACATTTCCATTTTGCTCAAAGCTTCAACATCGTGTCATCAGACAAAGCCCCATGAGTGGTGGCAGAGCAAACTCTAGCCTTCATTTTCAAGTTTGAAGAGAAAAAAATATTTACATGTCTAAATCCCAGAACCTGCTGTTCACAAGTCACTTTTTGTTGCCCGCTGCTATAAGCCATTAAGGCTTCCAAAAGCTCTAAAAGAAATGGGACATGGTTTGGGGCAGAAAAATCTGTTTTAAATTTGTTTAAATTCTATTTCATTGTGTTATCTGAATTTGTCCTACCAGAGGAACCTGGAAGATGGAATGTTTCTGTCATTCCTTACAATGAATGATAGCTTAAAGGGACGGTCAGAGCTTGCAAGACAAATCTTTGATCCTCCTTAAGATTGTTATAAACTGAAGGAGAATATCTTTTAATTCTTTAGGACTTCAGACTATTTTTTAAGGAAAATTATTGATTCATGCAATGAATTTTACTGTTTTATCACACTTCCAAGTCAGTATTTATATATCCTTTTGGTTATGAAAATAGGCAGATGTTTAACTATGTGTTCTAATATTGCACTGGGCTTTGTTTTTTTTTTTCCTTTCCTGTTTTAGACATGTTTTCCTGAATCAGACCCTTGAATTTAATGACAATTAGTACAGTTTCCAGAAATTTATTTTCATCTTAAAGAATCTATGTACCAAGTGTGGAAATGTAGATGTTAAGGGGGAGCACAAGTAACGACTTTTTTTTTCCATTCACAGAGGAAACACTAAGACATCAAGGTTATTCAAGTAGCCTGGAAAGTTACTATTTTTCCAAACTGCAAGAAGATCTCAGAAATAATAAGGATAACATTAAAACAAAAATCTAGAGAAATTGTTTAATTTTCTTAAAAAAATATTGGAACTTGGAAAAAAAAAAAAGGCATTTCACAGTGAAGAAAATCTTCAGGCAGAGTTCAGGCAGAGTTATTAGACACAGTGTTTAGGGTTGCTTGAAAGAATCATTCCAGGGGCTGTTCTTTGCTGCTACTGCAGAAGTGTGTTGGGCATTTAATCTGTCTTAATTGCCGTATCTGCAAATAGAAGATAATAATGCCCACTTCTGTCTAGTGTTGTGCAGTCTCTAGAAGTTTCCCAGCAAGAGAAAAGTGTTTCATAGTGTATGTAAAATTGCCTGTTGGATCTTTTATTTTAAAATAAAAAAGCCTTCTTTCGAAGATCCCATTATCATCAGAATTCTGTTATCCTCACAAAAATGTACTTGGCATTAGCATGGCCCATGTTTTGTATTTCGACTACTAAACTTTCATGGACATCATTGTCTAGCTAACATCTTAAATGCTATAGCTTTCCCATTAGATAAGCAGGCTGATTTCATTAGTATTTCTTGAAAGAACAAGGCAGAAAAAAAAAAAGACTTGGATGGTTGTGAATGTCTTGTAGAGAATTTTGGTGGCAGAACTCTTGCCATATGACTGTACATATTTTATGCTACAGGAAAGGAAATTAGTGGAATTTGTAGAAAACCTATATAAATGTAAAATGCAACAAACAAACAGTCTTTGCACAGATTATACTGGCAGTACTGATCATGTCTACTTTGACAAGAGACAAGGAGTATGCTCAGGATGGTGTGTCTCCTGGCTCCTGCTCCATGTTGCCAGCCTTTAGCCCTGCTTAAGACTGTGCTGTTGGGTCTGCCAACAGCCTGGATTGCTTACCCTGTGTGTTTTAGAAACAGGAAATCTAAGGGCTGTCCTAGGACGTGTGACATCGCCAGATCTAAGGGCTGTCCTAGGATGTGTGAAAGGATGTGCCAGCAAGGTGAGTGGCTGGTTGTCACCACAAACCTATGCAAGGGGACTGTGAAGAAGATTTCTCTTCTCACATATCCTAAGCTACATCCTAGGCTTGACGCAGAGTGTAGCTTTGTGCTCCTGCAACCAGTCTTGAAATATGTTCTGGCCGGTAACAAGGGTCCCAGTTTATAAGACTGGAGACATAAAACCCAATAATTTGATTCCTGTTTAAAACTTTCAGCATTTAGGGTAGGACAGACAATTAACCAGTCAAATCCAGAACTAAAATGTTTTATCAGAATATCAAAATTAGGAATGCAAATTAGGAATTTTTCTTTTCAGATTATCAGTGAAGTGACAATAGTGTCTGTTACCTGCAGTTTTGCCAGTGGTAGGTGCCAGCTCACAGGCTGAAGAGCATATGTATGAAATGCTTGTCATATCACTGACACACTCTCACAAGATGCCACCAAAGGGATTTTGCTCTACTGCAAAATAAGAAACCTTAATTACTATATGATAAAAACAGATGTGTTATACTTGTTGGTAAATTAAAGATTAAAATAGAGATTAACCTTTGATAATAATCTTTCATTTTTTATCTGTCTTTAATCAAACTCAGAGTGGTTTAAATACATAGGAGCATCTCTTGGGCTTATGTTTTAGTTGTGAAAATGACTAATTTGTGTATATTGTTATTTAAAGTTACTTTAATTGCAGTACTTGCATAAGTTCAAGAAGCAGAATTTCATTCCATCTGGTGATTACTTATTTATTTTCACTAATCATACAGTCAAAAATCAACAAATTAAAAAAATAATTACTGAAAACTTGATTGAACATAATAGAAAATATGTAGAAAATGCAAATAATATGTGACTAAATGTGTCCATATGGAGCCTGAAAATTTCAACACACTTCAAAAAATTAATGAAGAAAACAGATAGGGAGCTGCAAATGCAGTGATTTCCCCAAGAAGCCTATATTTCCTACTATTTCAACTGGTTTATATGTCAAGAGTAGACATATATAAACTGCTTTTGAAGCTATTTACTTTTATTTTTTTTAAATTCGTGTATTATGTGTACTTACTGAGATTGAAGCTGTTTAATTTCACTCCACTGTGAATCTGTAGCCCAAGTTAAATACTCAGGAGACCCAGTATGTATGTTAATTTAGTGATCAAAAAAAGTTTCCAGTTGGTCATATTATGTCCAGCAGTAAAACATTTTCAGACTTAAGGAGATACATGACTCACCTAAGGAAGAGGTATGTTAAACCATTTACAGGCTGGTCACTTTCCAAATCATGAGTCCTATCATTCTGATACCTTTAAAATCCACTAAGGTGACTAGCAGGGAATTACTCAGGAGCCTCTCTAAATCAACAGCAAGTCTACAAATGTATCCCTCTGTAGTGTGAAATGACCACTTTGTCTCTTGTCCTAGACATGGAAGCCATTTTGTAGTCTTAATAATTTGGTTTACCTCTAATACACTAAAATTCAGAGGGATTTATACTGGTACAATATATGAGATTACATCAGAAAAAAGTGGCTTTGCTGCATCGTTACGGACACTCCGACTACGTAAACAACAGGTTGCAAAACTGTTCTTTTAAAACTTCAGTGGTATGCGAATGTGCACATGTGCACAGCAGATCACGAGTTATTGCAGTAGAGGCAGTCTCTGCTTCTGCTATATATTTTCCCAACTGATATGCTCTTTTTATTTTTTTTTTGAAGTTGTCATATGGTATAACACTTTTACTAGTTGACTCCTCCCACTTTTCTTCAAACCACATCCTGATTTTTGGCCTCAGAAACCAAACATATGCACAACTTGCAGAACAACACATGATATTGTTTCTGTATAACATCATACCAGCTGGGATATAAATTCTTACAGACAATTTTATGTGAATGAAAAATACCTACATAAAGACATTTTCCATAGTTATGCAATACATATCACAGTAGAGCATATGGTCTTGAGCCAGAGATCTTCACATAGAATTATAACAAAAGCCCCAAATCAGGCCACAGATCTTCCGACAATGTAATTTTGAAGAGATCATTCTAATTTCTCACTATTTTATTTCTTCCTTTTTCTATTCTCTTTTGGATTTCTGAAATCCAACCTCAGCTAGTTTGTGGGCATGTTGAAGACCCTTAAATTTTATCAATTTCATTTATTTGGTGTCAAGTCCAATAAAATTGTTGTTTAACTAAGAAAAAGATAATTTATGGTGAAATTTTAACTGGTACCATGATTTGAAAATATGCCAATAGGCAGAATTCATTGTTTTTGGGGAATTTATTTCAACATTCATTTTCATTAGTAGAAAAGTGTTTTATTCTTGATTTTTTCAGTGTTCAGCTTCCAGAATGTTGGGGTTTTTTAATTTTGGGGGATGGTTGTTACATTATTCTCCCTTCAGAATAAAGAGTCTGCATATGAGAGTTTTCTCCCATGATCTATAAACTTTAATCAAGTCATGCTCAGCCCTCCTTTTTGATAATCAAAGAGATCAAGTTTATCTTTTCACAGCAAATAATTTTCTTCTGCTCTCAAATTAATTTTAAATGCAATTTTGTGAACTCTCCATTTTTTTCCCACCATTCTCATTAAAATATGGACAGCAGATCTGTGGGAATTATTCCAACCGTTGCATCAGGATTCAAGGATTACGTTAGCTCTGCTCATGCAACTTCACAGTGGGATCTCGTGTTGGTCCACTATGGCCCATAAATCCTTGCAGAGTCAAGGCATTCCAAATCACTGTACCCCCTTTTTTGGGGGGTGAATTCCATTTGTATTATGTTTAACTGTGCATTCATCTCTTCTAAAATGCTCATTTTTGCATTGGGTCTAGTTTGTAAAGAGATCTCCTCTTCCTTGGTCTCATAATTATGTACTAGCCGAGTAATCTTTCTGTCATCTTCAGATCCTTAGCATGGCAATTTGCATTTGCACCTCTGGATCACTGCTGGGAATACTGACTACCATTGGGCCCAGTACTGATGCCTGCTAGATACCATTAGAAACAATTCAATATTAAATTTCTTTTTAATGTATCTTTTGGTGATTTGCTGGCCAGCTCTTAATTGAAATTGTGTACATTGATGCTATGTAGCAGATCTTTTATTTTCTTAATAAAGTTATCATGCAGTATTTACAAACTTTCATTATGTATTTATTGATTAAACAAACAGAAGATAAACATCCCGTGGACAGGTGAAAAAAATCTGTAGACCACGAAGCAGACAAAACACTCAGGATTAATATTCTTCAATTTTCTTGCACGTGTAACTTTATTTCACCACTTCAAAATATTTCATATATAAGTAATACTGTTCATGTTTCAGAATCGGAGGGATTCTGATTTGCCTGACATGTCTATCTTAAAATGTGTAAAGGCTTTCTGAATTTGTTGAAGCCGCCTCTGGGAAGTTTACAGAACTAATGGCAGACACTGATGTATGCACTTTCTTCAGTTGTTTTTAAGATGTTTTGCTAATAGTTTAGCTCTCAGATTGGGTAATGTATTTTCTGTAATTTGCCACAAAACCAAAATTCATAAAATGAAATTCTAATTCTTAATCCACGCTTTGGCATGGAATACCTTGTATTCATTTCTGTCTGTAAAAGTGACAGCACTGCGTCTGATATGTTCACAGACAGAGGTAAATCCACAATCCTCCCAAAACTTTACTGGTGTCATAGCTTCCCTCCTTCCCACTCCCCAGTATTTAATGAATTTGGTTAATGTGCCAGAAAGGTGTTTGCATTTTTCCAAGTAAAGAAAAAGAAAGGGGTGAACTTTAAAAGGAGGAGACTAATTTAAAATTTCTCCCTTTCTTTCTTTGGACCCTTTTCCCTTCCGGAAGAAGGTTCTGGTGAAATTTGTCAGAACAAAGTTTCCAAGTAGTTTATTTCTTTTTAAGTAAATCTAAGGCTTTTGGATTTATTGGACTTTTCTGTCTTTGTGTAAGTTGAATATCACAGCTAATAGCACAGTAATAATTACATGTCATTCTCTTTATCCTCTTTGTGCACTGCCAATCTGCAAAGGTGTCTCATTTCACACATCATTTGTGATGTCCTCTGGTAACCACATATTTTGGGGAATAGCTGGTGAATGTAGTCATTAATCTCCATTTTGAGATGTGTAGTTCCAGATTCCCATTCTGTAATTGTTCTAAGCAGACTTCTTGGTGTAGCAAATGGGTCAGCAAGACTATGCTCAGATCCCAGGAGACAGAGTACAGGTAACTAAACTAAACTGCAGGACTGTAGGATTTCCCAGTCCCTCAGCTGGGCTACACCGGCCGTGGCCCAGGGTAGGAAAGTGAGTTCCTCTATTTGTCTGCAATTAGTGGGAGTGGGGGTTCACGGGATACTCCAGACAGTCTTCCCTGGAGAGAAAGAAAGTTATTCTGATGGTCCTATTCCATTCAAGAGAGCCAGTACAAAGGAACACTGTTAATTCCTACTGAGGCAAAGCAGCCTCAAGTCAGCAGTGATCCAGACCCCACTTCAACACAGAGACAGCTTGTGAAATTGAAAAACAGGAACAAAACAAAAAGTACTATACGTGTCTGAGAAATCTTATCAACCCTCGCAGATATATTTATTGCTCACTGATGACTGAGAATCTCATCTTGCCCAGGGATTAGTTGTGAGTTACTAATGGAGTAAAAATGTGGGGTGAGCGGAGAATGACAGTCTATGGCTGATTACTCTGATGTCATGCTTTGGGAACGGCAGCCAGAAATGTGCAACTCATTCTGTCTTTAGAATCAAAGGCACCTAATTACAATCTCATTTTGTTAAAACACAGTGCTAATGACTTGCTTGTGCAGTAGCTGGATACCATATCAACTGCCACATAAGCTAAGTTTTTCCAGTTTAACAATCCCAGTTACAGTATCCGACTGCCTGTGCATAAACATTTGCAAGTTGTTGCTGTAGGTCTGGAGAGGAGGCATGCAGCAGTTTCCACTAGGCAGGGAAAGCGAAAGGAGGAACTGGTAGACAGACTTTGTGCTAAAATGTTCTCACTTTAGAAGAGCTGTTTTGAGTAATTTATAAAAATTGGTCTGTTAAAAATCCAACCACGATTGATCAGGTCAGAGTATTCTGTGGTACAACAACACAGGTTAAATCATGTTCTTTCTTGTAATCTCCTCTTCCCAGTTCTTTTTAATCTTTGTAATCTGTATTTTTTTGCTGGTACTCAACTGTTTGTACCTTTGAACTCTTTTTATACCCAGGCTGCTTCTGCATGTTTTCTACAAGTTATGTATCATCTTCCCAAAGTTTATTACAAAATGTGTATATACACATTTTCAGAGCTCCCACTACTTGCAAAATCTTATTTTGTGTTAAGGGTTACTTCTAATATCTTCAAAGCACCCTTCTGAGAGCAAATGTATTGTTAAATATCAAGGGTACCTTGTTTTGTTCCCTACGTATCCCTTTCCTTCAACAGGTCCTGAATTAAACACATGTATGCATGACGTGCATTGATATTTTCTATTATTTGATCTTATTCTATGAAATCTCTCTCAGCAAGTTCTGCACGTTTTAATCTGTTAATTATAGCAAAGTCTGTACTATTAAATATTTATCTGAAAGGAATTCTCTGAAAATACAGAAATGAAGATAGCTCTCTAAGGAACTGTGGGGTTTTGGCACACAATGAGGACGAACTTTATACCAAGCCACATTTTTCACATGACGTTAAAGGGCTCTAGAGTTTGATAAGTTTGGTTTTCTCCTACATGTCTGATGCAATCTACTGTATGTATATATATGTATATATGCGTATTTGTGAGTATGCTCTTTCTTTGAATGTGAATTGCAATAATTCTTTCACTGTGGTTGGTACTGTGATGGTGCCCATGCCTCTAAATCTATGTAACTGGTATTTTTTCCAAGTTCATAGCACTTGTGTCCTCAGGTCTCTGCCACTTGTTTTCAATAACCTTTCATGTGAAGTAATGATACTCTAAGCTGTTGTGTCAAATATCAGATGGGATCTCAAGAAAACAATGTGTGTTTCAAACTATTTACACTCAGGTGGTATTCAGAGGAGAACTAGATCTGTAATTATTACTTTTAAGAAGCATGGAGGACAGCCAGAAGAGTTGAAATGGGAGCCCTTCCAAGTATGTATCCTGAAGAAGCAAAAGGGGCAATAATAAAACTAAATTTCCCCCTGTAAAGAGAAAGTTTTTTGGAAGGATGAACTCATTAGCTAGGTGCTGGGGGCCAAGTAATTCTCTACTTCCTTCTCATTACTTCCAGGCCATGACCATGTTCTAACTATATGCCAGATCAGAACACTACCTGGGAATATTAGTGAGCTGGAAAAGAAACCAGTAAAACAGTTATGGTCCCAATGTTAGTATGAAAATCAGGACCATGATCTTTTAACTGCTCCAGTAAAAAGTTATGTCACTTGTAATTTCGACTTCTTGGAGATGCCCAGCAGTCAAAGAGTTCTCCACAAGTTCACATTCAGTTCTATTGGATTAAAAAAATCAGGAAAAAGCTCTGATGAGCTCCATTTCTATACGTTGCTTGGGAGGAGATATTTAAAAAGCCAGCCCATTCCTCAGTCTCTGCTAAGTTCTGATCTAGATTGAGGTTTACTGACATGACTTGGCACTGGTTCTTAAGCTGTTTGCCAGCTGTTTGTATTCAGTGTATTTGGTATCATTGCTGTCTCCTCCTTTCCTAACTCTCCAAGAGAGTCTTTTGGTGACTAAATCCTAGAGGGATTCTCTACCCTCTGTCCTTGGGAGCAGGGCAACAGAGCAAGGGCAAGCTGTAGCAGATTGTTCCTCTTACTCCTCCCAATGTTGTAAATTAAAACAAGAATATGAACCACTGATATGACTTCATCCATCAGACCACAAGCGAAGCTGAGTCAGCAAGTGGTGAAGAAAACTACATGTATTCATAGTGAGTGAGCAACTATTTCTTTTTCATGAAATGTTTGTAGCTAATCAACTCAAATAGCTACCTATCCAATAAATACAAGCTGCCAAAAAGTGCACTTGGATGGTATATTTGGCAGTGCTGAACAACTCTCAAAGCATATTAGATGTTCACTGTTTAAGTCAATAGGCTAAGATGTAAAATTAAAAAATATTTTGATTTTTTTTCATACTATAGCCTGCTTTTATTCATAACCAAGTTTAGTTCCACTGATTTCTATAGGGGTGAGGGTGGCAGGAACTGAATCCAAAGCTAAGCATTTAACTAATTCTTTTCATATATCTTAATTTTTTCATATGTCCTAATTATGTTCCTAAGCATTTCTTTGTTGTTTTTTTTTTCCTTCCCTCACACTATTTAGGCATACCAAATGGGTTCATCTTGAATTAATTTCAGTTTGAAATTCTCAGAAATCCAGCAAGTATTTGTATAAGCTTAAATTAAACTCTAAGTACAACCTCTATTTTTTTTTATTGTAACAATGAGAGTCCATTTGATATACTTCACTGCAGTGTCAAACTTCAATAAGAATATATACTTTTTACACAATTAAAAAATAAGTTATGTATCGTTTGCAGAACACTATGATTAAGGAGATTATGCTTTCAAATGAAGTTTTAGGGAGACTATAATTTCAAAATTACATTTGCTCCTATTTGATATTGATTACTTGTTTCCTACTTTGAACACATACCATAGACCCCTTAAACTCTGAATGCCTTTGGTTTAATCACTTTATACTGCTCCATTCTCTTCTTCCTGCCAGGTTCTTTGGAGAGGTGCAGGTAGCCAGGCATAAAGGTTCAGAGAGCAAAGTTGGGAACAGTAAATTCTGTTGACTTAACTTCTCTTGACTTTCAGCACACAGATTTATCCATGTAACTCCCATTAAAATTAGTGGGAATCATGTGACTCAAACCTGTGCATACTGAGCAGTTTCCTTGGTACCCTGAAGAGTCTGCATCTAGTCTCTGAGTCCCGAAACGAAATGATGAAGGTGCAGTGACAATATATCACTTAAATATCACATGCATTTACTTTACTGTAGAGCTTTGAAGAAACATCTGTTTCAAAAACAGCTTTTGCATCAGAAGTCAAAGGTCCCATGAAGAGATTAATTTATATTTCAAATTTTGGTATGTTTTTCATCATAATGATAAAACAGACTTCTGTATTTGCAATTTACCCTCTAGCTATATAATTTCTGACTTAAATAGCCACAAGGAATGCAATAAATGAAACATTTTTCAAAACAATTGTTTCAACTTTGTCTTACTTTTTAATCATTTAAACTTATTTTAAATGATAACCTATTACTAGACCATTAATAAAAACATTATTTTAAAATAGATTTCAAGAAAGCTTGATTAAGCTACAGTAAGACTAGGCAGAAGCTGATGGGATGACTTTCAAAGAAATAGTGCTATAAACAATATTTATGATATTATGCCCAAGCAATTTGAAAACAAAGTCTATCATTTACCTTTGAATTATAGAAATATATATATTTCTATGTCAATATTTAGAAGTCCATTGACTTAATAGGAAGCTGTAAAAGCATGAGGATGTGCACAGACAATATAGTGGAATAAAAGGATG